CGACCACCAGGTCCTGGGACCACATATGTACCTAAAACAAAAAAGGAGCTGGAACAGCAGGTCTTAACAGAAATCCAGTGATTTAGAGTCATGGATAGAAAGACACCTTCAGTTTAAAGGCCATGCTCCATTACCCAGACCTGTAATCTATTTCACTGAAACTCTGCAAACTAGCTTACATAAGAATTAGATGGTACATGTCTATCCTTTTCCTTGATTGAGCTGTTCTGGAGAGATAAAATTTACAGGGATGAAGGAATAGCATTTATGAGCTTGATGAAGAAGAATGGAAAAGCACACAAAAAACCCCTTAATAAACCCAAACAGTGATATTTCAGGCACAGAAGTCCTGTATCAGGGCTAAAAAAAGACAAAGACTTTCAATGCAGGTTGAGAATAAATTGCTCTAAATTTATATTATATTAATCTCTGAAGTTATCAGAAAGGAATGATGGTTAGCACTTGTGAAACAGAGGCAGAATGATCATTAACAATGAGAACATGAACCCCTGTGGGACAGAAAGTCCAAACGAGCAAGGTAATTTTTCACTTTGCTTCATTTTATGTCCTTGACAGCAGCAGATGAGGAGTCACTCTCATGTTTCTTCCTTAACTCAGTCATCTTTTTATTCTATTGTTTTTCTGCAAGATTTTGCTACTTCATGAAAGGAGAAAACATTTGGGAGACATCTCACCTACCATTTGTCACAAAAACTTGGGCACTTCCTCCAAAGCAGCCACCGCAGTTTATGGAGGCAGACGTAAACTGGGCCCATTTGCTGGTAGGACTTGTGACCCTGCAGGGGACCCACCCAGCCTGTGGATTTCCTGAAGGATTGAACCCCGTGGAAGGGACCCACACTGGAGCAATTCATGAAGAACTGGAGCCTGCAGGAAGGACTCACATTGGAGAAGTTTGTGGAGAACTGTCTCCTGTGAGAGGGATCACAGGCTGAAGCAGGGGAAGAGTGTGAGGAGCCTCCTCCTGAGGAGGAAGGAGCAGCAGAGACAACATGTGATGAACTGACGACAGCTCCCATTCCCCATCCCCATGTGCCGCTGACAGGAAACAGGTAGAGAAAATCTGAAGTGAAGTTGAGCCCAGCAAAGAGGGAGGGATGGGAGGAAGGTGTCTTAAGAATTAGATTTTTATTTATCATTACCCTACTCTGATTTGATTGGTAATAAACTTATTTCCTCAAGCTGAGTCTGTTTTGCCCATGGCAGTAATTGGTGAGTGATCTCTCCTTGGTGTTATCTCAACCCATGAGCCTTTTGCTGTAATTTCTCTCCCCTGCCTAGCTGAGGAAGGGAGTGATGGAGCAGCTTTGGTGGGCATCCAGACAGGATAACACACCACAAAGGCCATCAGCAAAGACATAAAAAAACCTTAAAACCCTTTTTTTTTAATATTACTTAGACCCAAGATCCCATTCCAGCCCGCCAGGGTGCCTAGGGGAGGAGAGCAGCTGGGACCCCTGTACATCAAATGTTGGCTTCCCAACAATAACATACCTAAAGCTGCTGCTTCCTGCAGTGTTTAGAGTCGCATCTGATAGTCTGAAAACATTCACTACAATTCATTTTGGATCTTAACAGCATTTAATTCCTCCACTGAGGCATTGCAGACAGTGATCTTCTCCATTAGCACTCTTTTTTGTTCTTGTCACAGAACATGCCTCGTGCAGCAGCAGGGTGTATGTCTTGTGAGACAGAAGTGCATTTTAAATTGTGCTGGGTCTACATCCAACTTGTTCACCATATATTTAAAGCTGAAAGCACTCCAGCATTAGCTACAGCTCAAAAGCAGACACATAATTTGTTTCACGTTGAAGCACACTTGGATATACCCTTACCTCAGACTAGCAGAGATAAATGACTTGCTGGAAGATACCATTTGTAGGACAGAACATTTATTTTGCAGAGACTAGAGAATTTCTAAAGCTTTATTATCGTTGCAATGAATCAGTATTTGCTACTTGATGTAATCTTGGCAGCACAGCAATACACTTTTTACCATTTCAAACAGTAATTCAGAGTTGCTGTTTTATTTCAAAATAGCATCTTTTCGCATTTGTTTTGAAGGAGGTGCATATGTAGGGCCATTAGATGACAGGTCTCAAAACGCATACGAAGTATTTTACCTGTGGAAGGTGACTATCACAGATAAGATTCTGCATAGTACTGTTTTTTTTTTTAAATAACTGAATGTGAAAAAGAAAAAATTGCAGTCAAGTCTTTGAGCCTGCACACAATTATACATGCTGGTACTGTTCTAAGGACATGATGGCTTATTGCATTACGTGGGGCTCCACAAATGCAGCTCTGCTTACAACATTTGCAGGATTAGAGCCCAAAATAATAGCCCTCTGATTCTATATTTTCAAGCAAAGGTATTTTCTAACCTTGTTAACAGACTTTCCTCCTTCTTCTTCATCTGCTGGAGAGTATCCATTCTGCTTCACATAGAGCTAAAAGCCTGTTATGCTGATAACACTTGGAAGCAGCTTAGTGCACTGGACAGTTTACATTTTTCACATCTGTGAGTGACTTAGGAGCATCAGCACCTTTAGGACAGCATAGTTAAGCACAACAGGATATGAAACTCCAGTCCTGGCCAGTATTAACCTTAGCCGGGGAGGGCTTTTGAAAACAGAAAGCTAAGGAAACAATCAGCGCAATTTCAGAAGCACTGTATGCACGCACACACATTCAGATATGTTTGGTTTATCCCTGCCATTCTTGCTTTCTCTATAACGCTGCTAATATTAAAGAATAAATCTTGATTTCATCCCGTGACTTGCTCCCCACCTTTCCTTGCTCCCAACTGTAATATCTATTATGCCAAAAGACCTCTCTTCATCTCCATATTGTTAATTGCATCCCATTAGTTGAAAGCACCCTCCTACCTCCAGATGAAGAAAAAAAGGGTAGGAATTCTTGTTTGAATATTACTACAGTTTACAGAATTCCACAGGATGATGGCATGCAGTATGAATTATACCACCCAAAGCAGAAGAAAAATGCTTCAATCCCTCCTCATGCAAGATTTGCAGTGGCATCACTGGGAACTTTTGCTTCAGCAATACCTTGTGGAACTGACAGATAAAAAAAAAAAATTACGCAGAATATAAATTGAATTTATGACATAACAAATAATATTTAATAGATAGCATTGAATGCATACACATCAATACCAGTGCTGTAACAACAAAACAGAACTTGTAAAATTAGCAGCAGTTTTTTGCAAGTACAAAAATACACATTTTATTCAGAACATATATAATAGCAAAATTTAACAGGATATATTATACAAACTCAAAGCATTTAGATAATGCATCACTTTAATATATTATATGACGTATGACAAAGACAGCGAGATCATCGAGTGCACCCTCAGCAATATTGCAGATGACATGATGCTGAGAGGTGCAGTTGACACAACAGAAGGATGGGATGCCACCCAGAGGGACCTGGACAAGCTCAAGAAGTGGATCCATTGGAATCTCATGAGGTTCAACAAGTCTAAGTGCAAAGTCCTGCACCTTGCCCTGGGTTGGGACAATCCCAGATACGGGTACAGACCAGGAGAAGAACTCCTGGAGAGGAGCCCTATGGAGAAGACCCTGGGGGTGCTGGTGGATGAGAGGCTGGACATGAGCCAGCAATGTGCACTCTCAGCCCAGAAAGCCAATCGTGTCCTAGGCTGCACCAAAAGCAGTGTGGCCAGCAGGGCAAGGGAGGGGATTCTGATCCTCTACTTCACTCTGGTGAGACTCCAGCTGGAGCGCATCCAACTCTGGAGTCCCCAGCACAAGAAAGATGTGGACCAGTTAGTGGGGTCCACAGGAGGGCCACGAAGAACATTAGAGGAAAGGAACACCTCTTCTATGAGGAAATGCTGAGAGAGTTGGGGTTGTCAAGCCTGGAGAACACGTGGCTTCGGAAGACCTCACTTTGGCCTTCCAGTACCTCAAGGGGGCTTATAAAAAGGAGGGAGGTTATTTTTTTTTAAATGGGAAGACAGTGACAGGACAAGGGATAATGGTTTTAAATTGAAAGAGGGCAAGTTTAGATGTTAAGAAAAAATTCTTTCCTGTGAGGGTGGGGAAGCACTGGAACAGGTTGCCCCAAGAAGCTGTGGACGCCCCATCCCTGTAAGTGTTAAAGGCTGGGTTGGATGGGGCTTTGAGAAACCTGACTGAGCGGAAGGTGTTCCTGCCCATGGCAGTGGGGTTGGAACTAGATGATCTTCAAGGTCCCTTCCAATCCAAACCATTCTATGATTCTGTGTTTTAGATGCTGCATAATAAAATTACGTGTGTTCTGCTTGCAATAATACATAATGCCATTTACAGCAACGTTAAGAAAATATCCACAACTTAAACATGAACAGAACAGCCAACAAAGCACAATAAATGAAACACACAGAGTTGCAGGGTGTTAGTTACAAGCTTCTGCATTTCCCTTTACATATTTTTGAGCTTACTTTTGTCTTTCTTTTGCAGTGCGAAAGGAATAACTACACCTATCAAACATACCGCATAAACACACAGAAAACAATACACTTACTCCTTGAAGGACAATGAAGGGAATATTCATCAGTTTCAGAACAGTAGTATAATACCACAGTTATGGAATCTATGCTGACTTCGCACACTACATCAAAAGCACAAAGGACTGAGACTCACATTTGCAAGGCTCAACACTCGAGTGGTCAAGGGGAGAGGCCCAGCAGGCACCCCACTGCCCTAGCAGGGTCAGAGTACAGGGCACTGGCCTTAGTTACCCCCCAGGCCCCTTCCAGACTTTCAGGAGATTTCTGTTTGCTTGCTTTTCAGAAATTTTTATTATTCTTACAATGTTCTTGCAAAGCTTTATGTCAGAACATTACTCAAACAGTTTCCTAAAAAAAGAAAACCTGTGAGTCTGGGGACTGCTCAATTCAATTTGAACAACTTGGATGTTAAACTTAAAATGAACACACGTTAACACCAAAAGCATTTTCTTTATGGTGTTTATTTTATGCATTAATATTCCTCTGCAAAAAAGATTTGGTCAGTCTCTTTAAACTTTGGATTGCTGCAATGTTTTTCTAGACTTCCTCTTTGCTCATGAACACTGTCTCTTCCTGTGACTTTCAGAGGCAATGGCTGAATTTTAGGCTTAATCAAATAGCCATCAACTCCATCAGTAGGTTTCAGGGGGGCTGGCCTGCTGTTGGGCTCCCCCAAGCCCCTCTCAGCCACAGTGTCAGTAGGTTGTGGAGATGGTGGCACCTTCGTGGGTGCAACCAAATAGTCACCAGCCACAGCAGCATCAGCATCCTCGTGTTTCTTTAGCAACTGAAAAGTGCTGTCGAAAGGGCAGGAGATTTCACTTAGGGTAAACAGAGTCTGGTCTGAAAACTGCGAGAAAGCACTGTCCAGAGAGCAAATTGATGACACAGATGGAGATGTTCCCGAAGAAGACTGGCTAGAACAGCTAAATCCTGAGCAAATATTTAATCCCTCAGGCGTCGGAGGCAGGAGACTATGGGATAGGTCTTTCCTTTCAATGTTTTGGTTTGTGTTGTCACTTTTACCAACATGAGTCCCCATAATCAAGCTCTGATTGCTAAGCTTTTGCCTTTCCATCTGCAATGACCGAAGCTGACAGAGATAGTCTTCATCTTCATGAGATAGGACAGCATCACAGCTGGCTTTGCGTGTTGCCTTCTCATGACCATCATCAGTGTGGACAAAACTGGAGGCGAGGAGGGCAACTGCAGGCTCGGAGGAGCGTCTGTGTCTCCTCAAAGTTTTGAGAGCACCCGAGGTAGCTGCTGAGGAGAAACGCAGTGCACTGGAGCACAGAGACTCATTCTGTGAGTTTTCTTGTGATGAAAACTTCAGGTGCATGCCAACAGAGAGTGTCAACTGCTTTGATTTGGTCTTGCTTTGGATTTCATCCACCTCTGTCTGCTCCGAATCACCATCACTCAGGGTGAAGACAGACTCTCTGCTCCTGTTATCTTGATCGCGGATTTTAATCCAGTCACTAGAAGAAGAGTCAGCTTCATCATTTGCCTCATTTTCCAGGCTGTCATAGGAAGAGTCATTCTGATGGAGAGAAGCAACATCTGCAAAGACAAGCCAAGTGTTAACACATCAGTGACTGAACCACCCTATTGACAAGCAGCTTCCTTTTTTTATTTTTTTTTTTGGCAAGTATCCTTTACTTTCAGGACCATTTGCCCTTTAAACATTCTTCAAGAGGAAATACCAATAATTTCAGAAAAAATGACTGTCTAATTTTGAAATGGAAAAGCTCAATTGAGTGCTAAGCTGCAGTTCAGTCGAGAAATATAGGATAATGACACAATTAAGGCTTAGGGGGTTTTTGTTGTTGTTGTTATGGTTTCCTTGGTTTTTTTTTTAAGTGGGGAACTTTAGTAGTAGATAATCTAGCTGTAAACAATTATTTACATACATACATACATACATGTATTTAACTGGTAATTATTGGATTTTTCTTTTCATTATTGAATATTGATAACAACATCTAACCTTTTTTTCCTTCTTTTAGACAACTGAAGAAAACAGAGCATACTTCGTATTTCCATGGTCTTCCACAATACACTTTTCTTCCAGAAAATATATTTTTAAGAGCAACACGGTGAAGTTTTAGCCTCAGTTTAAACAGTCACCTCATTTCCACTGAGCAGGGCACACCTGGGTCCTATCCTGTATCTGCGATAATTGGAATTACATTAAATCTCTTTTGCTCCAGGCCAATCTAAGCTGACTTATCTCACATTTGCAGCAGACACAGTTCACACACGGGCAGTTACCACACCTCAGTGCGTGCCTGAAAACTTGTTCAGCTGCCATAACCTACTGTGGGTCTGAGCAATCAGTCCCAGCACATCCCAGAGCAGCAGATCCCATGAGCTTCACTCCTGGGGGAGGAGGCAAGCCAAATTTCACTGGATTTCATCAAATCTCACATGGAGCATGAGGACTGCAGAACAGCCCCACTGAGACAGTCTGGCTTGCCAATGCAAGTGCAATTACCACTTGCGGTATAGGCCAGCTGTGATAAAATCTATTTTACAAAAAATGCTGCTTTAGAAATACTTTAGGAGAGACACAAAACTCCAGTCAAAATTAATGCTATCACAGAGTTGGAGAGAAAAAGAGCCCTAAGAATAATACGGAATGTTCTGTCAACTAGTCTGTCAGACAATTTCAGTCACCAGTTCCACGATTTTTCTGTGCTAGTAGCAAAATCTGGATGTCCCATCGAAATTATGAAGATCTCTCTTTTTTCATAGTGAAGAATAGACACTTTCAATCCTAATATAATGGTGTGACATGACAGCTGCATTATAACCATTGTTGATCACTGACTTCATGATATTCTGAAGGTTGAGGCAAAAATTCTAGACTTAAGATGAAGCTTTCTGCAGATTTTTTTCCTCTTTTTTAATTCGTTTTCCCTTCCTCCTTTTTTTTACCATAGTGGCTCAGATGACTGGTACAGGAGCAAGAGATTTTATGTGAGAGCATTCTGTGATATGGCTCAGGTCTTTGGTAAGTTGAATCAGTTTTTATGACCAATACTGTGGGCAGAGGAAAGAGAACAGCAGTATCTGGAAACACTGTATGAAAAGGGAACAGAATTCTTCCATACAGTAGACTGACCTTTTGTCTGGATAAATTTAGCTGTCTTAAGGGGATCAAAACATCAATCTGTATTACCTGAGCTGTTCTCCCTATTACATGTCATCAGTATTTCTCCGAAGAGGGAGGTAATTTCATCTCCAAAAATCCTGCAGCAATTCTCAATGAGGAACTGTACCAGACTGGAAATCTGCAACAAAGCAATGGGAGAGAGATGTCTTGTCAGATCTTTTATTACTGCGCTCAGGGCAAGCTCACCATACAGATGAGGAACAGGAGCAAACTGTATTCCCTGATGGTAGCCAGGAACTACTCTCTCAGTCCCCTGGGCCCAGATAAAATGTCCTCGTATGCATCATTATATAAATCTTTTCCATTTCCACTCTGTACTGTTCCGAGGTCACCGCAACCACAGAGCTTCTTGATGAGAGAAGCACTTCACTAATACACTGGGTGTTGATTTATGATCTCCCTCCCCCTCTTCCAGGCAGATTATGAGAATGGATAGATGAATGTTTCTGGAGCCCTGACAAGAGGACAAGTCGTGATCTGAAGAGGTATTCCGTGTTTTCATGTTTGTAACCAACAGCAAGGTTGAACAGGAAGAAGGTTGGTTTGTTTTTTTACTATATTTAAGTGTCTCTTACCTTTTTTATAAATTCACTTTCTATATCTGGAGTGGAGGAAACAGGAGGCCAGAGCAGGCTAGGTGCAATGCAGATAGCCAGATTAAATGCATTCATCTGGTTCTCTTCAGATCTCATTTCTATACCATGCAGCACTCCAAAGATGTAACGTAGGAGAACAACATTAGCTCTGGGGAGCTGCTCTAATAACCTGAAAACATACACAAATGTAATTCTTCAAGTTAGTGACCATTTTCCATAGATACACACAAGTCAAGGCAATGAAATGACAGAAACAGGGTAACATGGTCCACTAATTAAAGCTGGGAGTGTGTCAAAGAGATGTTCTTGCTCAGTTGCTTTCCCTCACTGTGTCTCTGAACAGTTTTCTGGAACAACAGAAAACACTGCAACACACAATTAAAATTATCCTCTGTCAAACTAATGAACCAAGTACAATGTATGCCATGAAACTGTACTTCACCTAAGCTCCCTGATAATTTGCTATTCACTTAACCAAAGTGTTCAGCTGTCTCTCCATGCCATCTAATTGCCTTAAGCATATATGTGTGTAAGTATGTGTGAGGTCAGCTGGTGTACCAAGCTCTGCTTCCCGTGACATAAACTTTGCCTACTTTCTGTTTTATACTATCTGCAAAGGTGGAGGTTTCCCTTGCCACTCTGCTCCAGCATTTACACACAATTCCATCTTGGCTTCAGAATGGTCACTGAAATTTGAGATGAATCAGGGGAAATATATGAGGAACTGATTTCATCTTCCCTTTCATCCAGGACTCCAAAGTTCCCTGCAGGTGGTTTTGGATTTGATATCAGACAGAAATTCAGGTCTTGGACAGTGTATTTACAAATAATATAAGTTGGTTTTGTTTTCTTCATGAAAGGATATTTAATTTATTTACTGGTTTCCATAAAAGGCAAAAAAGTGGGAGAAAAGAGTCAGAAAACTGTCTCATACAGGCAATCATTTAAGTATATATAGTTTGAATTTTCTGTCATAAACACATGATAATTTTAGCATCTATTTTAAAAAAAAAAAACCTAATTGTAAGTTGAATATTTGTGATTCTGCATTCTGGGATATACATTTACAGGAAAAGAATGCAGAGAATATAAAGTAACTCTACCTTTGGATGCCTTTTATCTTCTCTTCATTATTTCCTTGATCCAGCACAGAGACCCACTTATCACACAGCTGGGATGACAAAATGCTGCCTGGGATGTTGCGAAGAAAATCCTTATCAAGAGAAAAGAATAACAAAACACATGAACAGCGGTTCTGGAGCATGTGAGGGAGTAGGAGTAAGACATGCACATAGAAGAGGATGTATCTGTGGGATGGTGCTTGCTGACAAGCATATTGTTACACACAGCAACCAAAACCAGAAGAAAACCATCTGAGATATGGAAGTACTTTAGATTATGCCTAAAGTGATTATTTTCTTGCTCTGTCCTTACCCTTTCTTATCAAAATAGAGGTATTTGGAAGCTTCGTCTGATATTGCTGAACTAAAAAATCTGCAGTGAGACCAGTTACTTTGTCGTTGCATAATGTCTGTCTTCACTTATCCCTTTACTTCATCTGTAGTCCCTATTTCTTCTCCTAAGCTCAAATGCATCCAGACCATAAGCACTCCAAGACATCCCTACCTTCTCTCCCCTAATCAATCTCTTTTGGTAATGGAGTACTTACACTAGTCAAGAATAGTCATGCTACTCCTCTTTCCTAATACCTCAACCACTGAGAGGGAAACTGTTGCAGCTTAGGAAGAAGTCCAAATCCTAGCTTCCCAAACAAGCTAGGGTAAGGGAAGCTATGATGCTTTTTTTGCCCAAGGAGCATTGGTTTTTACATACAAGATTGTAAGAAAAGATAGTGCATAAAAAAATAATCCAAATATTAATGACAACACTATAAACTCACCAGGGTCTGCAGTGTAGGGTATTACTGACATGTAAGGAAACAGGTCTGCAAACGTGCCTTTTTAGTACTTCATATGCAGAGATAAAGAGAGTATCAGAACCAAGTTGTAACAGAGACCTCAGAAAAAAGGGCATGGAAACAAGCTGGCTAGTCCTCTTCCTCATCTTAAGTAAGTGGTAAACCCATTGGGAGATTCTCACAATGTTATTGTGCCAGCCCATTCTTCTTAATTCAGTCCACCAATTCCTCTTTAGGCCTGTCCCTGGAAAAAAGCCCTACTTGCTTGTGCATGGAATCTGTGCTGCTCTCACCCAAAAAGGGAGAAAGGAACATTCTTCACATACCTTAAACAAAGATGCTGTCACAAATATGGATTCACAGGCTAAGTCTACCTCAGAGCCTGAATCAAGCTTCTCCTTGAGCTCTTTGAAGGTTTTTGCACTTCCAGAGCGTCTGAAAATACCCTTGGTGGAAGGGCCTTCTTGGTAAAGGAGAGAAAGCATGTCCTAAAAAAATTAAAAGTAGACAGGATTTCTCATAAATATATTTTATTGTCCAGTGCCATTAAAACGTAGTTTTGCCACTTCTGCCCCAGCTGAAAACCTCTGAGTCCTAAAAAAGCTCAGAAATAAAACATAAGTCAAGGCTAACCCTCCAAACCATGCCAAACTGCACAGTAAAGCTGTGATTTGGGGCTCTCATTTTGGAAAATCTCATATAAATACTGTGCTACCACTGCTGAGCACTAGCTTCCTGCATGATTTTCCAGGACCTGTGCAAGTTTCAGCCAAGCCATTTAAATATATAAACATTGTGGTATGGGAAAAGGAGAGTGCTCTACCTAACTCAAAGCTCTACATCTGACAGTGGCCTCAGACAGACACAACTTTGCATGAAGATACAAGACCTTCCCTGCTCATCATTGTAGTCAGTATCATCACTGACCAGAGATTGACTTCTGTTCCCTTACTGATGTCTGAAAGAAATTAGATTCTTATCTAAGCTGGAAAGCACTTTTTTAATGACTATCTGCACTTCTTCAGCAGATCAGAGTTAGGTTTTTACTCTCTTTGCTGCTTGTGAGTGGTATTGTACTCTGCAGCTCAGAGCTGTCATCTTGCCTCACCTCTGAGCTAAGGTGTTCCCTCTTGGGAGGTCACCCAGAGAGGGCTAAAGCTCAGCCTTACAGCTCTCCTAAAGCCAATGAGGCTGCAAAGGACTAAACAAGTGGGCAGTTTACCACATGAGATACTTAAAAGGAAAGGGAAGGGAAAATAAGCAGTTTCCTGCCTAGCTTTTAAAATAACAGGAGGGACTTATTTCTTCTGCTAAATAAGAGAGGAAAACAAGCAGAAAAGGAAATGCTGAAACTTCTTCTGAGGTAATATGTTCATGATATTTGCCAGATGCTTAGTTCTCTGCAGTCTCCTGTGGGTCATCTCTCTGACATGCCAGCCACCTCTTGCAGGTCTGCTCCAGGCGACACATGTTTATCTCTTCCAAAGGAGAAACACATGCAAACAGTCTCTGGGATTATGTGTATACACACATAATCTGAGTCTGAGGACCAAGTTATCAAAAGAGATGGCAAGAAAAGGGACACTGGGGAGAGCCCATCACCATAAAACTGAATTACTGAACAGTAATGGCTAAGAAGTGGGGTTTGGGGACTTTCCTAGCCTGGGCTGTAAGGCAGATTTCCTGATACCCAGCAGTACAGATAAGTCTAATGAAAACTGTTATTTTTACTTTTCCTCTTTAATGTTTCTTTCTCAACTCTTGCAGATGTTGAAGGCCAAGAATTCATGTAAGTGCAGATGCTTTGGAGAAGCGCTTTCATGGCAGCAGGACTCATGTCAGCATTTTCATTTTCTTTGCAGTAATTTAGAGCTCTGCCATCAAAACAGGCTGAGTCCCACACCACAGGATATTAGCACATGAACAAATGCTTTGAAAATATATTTTGAACACAATATCTATAAGATAAAAATGGGAAGCCCCTGTTAAACTAGCAAACCCAGACAAAATTACATGAATGAAGGTAATGGTGTAAGACAATTCGGCGTGGCCATGGCTGAAAGAGAGCCCTCCAGCAGTGAAAGCAAGCTCTGAAGCAGACATTAAACATGCCTGCAGCATTTGTCCCCAGTATTTTCCTTCTCTTGCAGGTAAATCCCGCACAGTCCCCTAGTATTCCATTCTCCAGAGATGCTGCATGAATTCAGAAGTAAGTTATATTTTGTGACATAAACACAATGCTTAAGATTCAAAGAATGAAGCCTACCAAGTCATGTTTCTATTCTTAGTAACTCTGGGGATTTTTTCAGATCAAAATTTACTAATATTTATGTTGTTGAGAAATTTCTGATATGCAGCATTGGCTCGACTCTTAAACAGAGAGTATGAGGGATCAGGTGATCATATTCATACAGAGTCTATCTCTGAAGGGCTTATTTAAATAATCTAAATGATGAAAATACACATTTCTCCTTCAAAAGAAAATAACAAACCCACACTATTAAAAGACCTGAAAAGTCCCAATATGATTCTCTATTCAGGCAGTGATAAAGCAGCATAACATGCATAAGCTTTGGAGACAAAACATCTCTTCCTGTAAACTGATGTAACCCCACTGATTTCAGTGGGGTTCTAGCATCTTCTTCCAGCCAAAAGTCAGGCTATTAGGATGAAGGGGGCTCACTCCCACTCTGTAAATACTTAAACTGCTGCACAGACAACAGGGCAGCCCTTAGTCCTGGCCAAAAATGTCACGTATCTGCCTTATATATGCCTAGGAATGGGCTCTAGGAAGACCTTTTTCATGTTCCTAGACTGGTTTTGAGAGCACCTACAGCACTGGAGCTCTCTCAAATCAGAATGAAAAGATGCTTCTGCAGCCTCCACATTCCCACCTGTTTTTGCAGTGGTGTTGTTGGTCAAAAACGAGGACTCAGAGTGCTTGCCTGTCCTGGAATGCCTTCAAGAAAGGCTCTGAAACTGTCTAGTTACAGGCAGGTGGCATTTTTATGCATGCGTGGGCTGTCTATATGGGACAGTAGATGACATATTTATGGATTTGGGGATTTTATAGAGATCTTGGGAGTGGTTTAAAAAGTATATGTGAACGTGGCATTTATTTACACTGCGTAAGTGAGGATTAGGGAACCAGCCTTACAGCATGGGCTATAAAGAAGGAATAGCCCAGAGCAGCAGACTGATCACATACATTTCTCAAGCTGTTATTAACTAAGCCTGACCACAGCATATGTTAAAAACTGAAGTTCTTGCTGAGAACCACAAATGAGGTTTCCTTCTGGAAGCCTTTCTGGTTTCTTTGCTTGGGTACTTTTAACTGTCTCATATACAAACACGTTTTCACTTACTACACAAAGAAATTCCACCACTGTAAGACCCAACCCTGAACCTGGGACTCACCAAGAGGGGTTTGGGCAGGTTGTCATCCTCACAGATGGTTGTTAGCAAGAGGCCAAAGAGCTTCCCAGGAGCAGCAGATGTTGTGGAGAGGGGTGCATTGTCCAAATGAGAGCCTGGGCCACGCCAAAAAGCCCAATTTATGATAGATCTTTTCCTTTTAAATGACTTTTGGCTTAAGTCTGGGGAAAGAGAAAGGTGTTTATTAGAAGAAATGCATTTCAATTCTAGTTCCAGTATTTGGTTTTTGGTGGTTGCTATGGTTTCAAAGGAAAAAATGTAATGAACTCAAACAACTCCTTGGCATCCAGCTAAGCTTAATCCACCATGAATATACCTGTGTGCGCATGTGTGTGTGTGTGGAGAATGTGTTGCCTTACTCATGTCCTGAAGAGGATACAGGATCTGCACTGCGCTGCTGGACTACAGCATCAGCACTTCCCACTAAGTGCAGGAGGGCAAACCTCAGCCTGCTAACTTCTATTCACACAGAGCTGGACTCTGCTGTATAACTCATTTTCCACCCACACAAGCAAAACCAAAGACCTTCTTTGGAAAAGAAGGTTTCCTCTGTCCTCATCTTGGCTTGCTGACCAGAGGCATCCTAGTGTCCCTGGCAATGCAGGAGAGCACCCATTCTCCCCACAAGTAACACCAGGGAATCAACTCATGGGTGAGATGTTTTGAGACCATGAAAAGCCACTGCCTTTGCTCTCTTATCTGCAATGCAAGAGTATCATTAGTCTTCTCACTCCAAGCATTTGCTGACTGTGGCCCAGGAACAGTGCCTGACCTTTAATCAACGCCTTCCAGATGGCATTTCAGCATGCTGCCGACACACTGATGGGCTCCATTTGTCCTAATCTCAGTGTATTTCACAAGACCACCACTACTCAAAGCTCTTATTCTCTTATTTGCCATGTACAGAGAAGGAAATATTGGTATTGGGATACAAAAAGCGTTTTTTTTATATGACCTTTCTCAACATCAGACAGTGTAAACTCTTCTTAACAGCATGGGCTACTGCTAAGTGGGGAGGAGGTGGGGACTGCTTATGATACAAATGTTAACTGGGAAAGATTTTTTCTGATATTATTTTTCCTTTTCAAGACATTTTCAAAGCCAATCAGCACTGACTTAGTGGCTTGCCTACCCTATGTACTTTTCTATTAGATGGTTCTTCCACCTGGTCAAACATTTTACTTTCTGCTGTTGTGGAGGGCAGAAGCAAGGCTTGCAGAATTAAGGATTGTAGAATAATACTGGGTTTTTCTCTCCAATACTTTATTCTCTCCTACACTTCACTACAATTGTTTTTTTAGCTCAAAGAGTGATTTTCATTATACGTCATTCCATTCCAGATCATGCTCCTTTTGGGAATGGGTGGAAATCTTTTCATTAGACGCTTACAGGATGAAAAGTTACAGTTTAATTCAAAATGTGAACATATGAATGAGAAAGCCTGATGAAAAATTCTTTTCATAAAAAGTAATGAGGATATACATTTTAAGCAGCCCAAAGCTTCAAGAAATATAAGTCTGGCAGTATCTAAGGCTTTACTTGACACAAATAACCTGTAACTTTCAAAATGACATTTCTTTCTTTCAGATGAGCTGGATATCAGCGCACAAATAAGGTTTGCTTCACTTGGAGTTCTAGTCATAAAACAGCAAATACATACTGGTGTTTTTTTCTGTCAAATCTGTAGGTCTCAGTGGAAGTAAAAATTAAGAAAAGATGCTTTTTTGGAGAACAAGGAATAGCAGGCGTGAATAAATAAGGGGTCTTAAAATTGGGAACTCTTCTTAATCTCTTACTGTTTGCTCCCCTCTTAAAAGCCATGTCTCAAACTGACAGTGGGAGCAAGGGGTAACTGTAACTCAGTGCAGATCTCTCCAGGGACAGGAAGGAAATCTTGACCAGTGCTCTTCAGTATACCAGGGCAGAAACCAAAAACTGATGTACAGCAATGAAATGCCATGTCATTTAAAAAACTAACATTCACTGAACAACAGGAAAACTCATCCCTTTAATATTCCCTTTTTTAAAGGGTTGAAAAGTCTTAAGCTAAAGAGCAGATGAGAAGGGGTGGATGTATACTTTCTTTCCTTGAACCTGTGTAAAGCTGCAATACAAGGAGAAGCCCAGGCTTCTGTCAGCCAAGACAGCACCAATTATTGCTCCGCAGAAGTACTTCCATACAAAAACCTCAGGACCCCGCTCTGGTGGATTATTCTAGGCTGGAATCAGAAAAAAAAGCAACACTACTTTGATGGAAAACTCAGAGCCCACAGCAACCATCTCTTCTGCTTATATGAAGGGAATTTCCACTCATAGGTAGTGTCCCAGTCATGGAAGTGGCATTTCCTCTTCTTGAATAATCAGAAACTTCTAAATAAAACTTAAGATCTTTTTAACAGTGTAGTATCCCTTCTGATCAAACAGTTTTCAAAGACTTCCTTTCTGTATTGAGACTAATTGGTTGAATCTTTACTTTCTAACAGACAATTAAATAATAATTTGGATTACAGAGTAGCCACTGGCAGCAGTTGGTTCTTTCAATACTTTAGACATGTGCTCACGAGCATTACTTAATGGCTATGTTTAACTGGTAGGTGACCATTCCCGTTACATGCTGAAAGGTTACACAGGAGAGGTGACAGAAACACTCCAGTTCTTCCACACATTAAACTCTCTGTACTTTTTTTAACCATCCTTCCAGGACAGCTGATGCAACTACACCACCACACAGCTACTTACTTGACATGACGGCCCGGTGTCAGTCATGTCTGCCTTTCAACACCGACACTGCTGCCTAACCATGGTGCATCCTAGTGCAGCTGGGCAGCCACTCTTTGCTTCCTCCAGAAGGCACAGCATGTCCAGCACAGTGGTATCAATGCAGGGAAGTGATGGGAGGGAGGATAGCACAGCATGTGGCAGTGAAATGTGGGATTACAGATGCCATCCTCTGTAAATTTTCCCTGTATGTGGCATTGTGCCTAGTGGTTAACCAACAACAAATACAGAGATTTTGGCTTGCTGATCTGAAGGTGAGCCCGAAGCCAGATCACAGCCTTGGCTTGCATACAGGTACCTTTTGCCATTTTCCAAAACCCAAATAGGTGAGAAGGAGTTAGGAGGAGCATAAAAAACAGTGCTGTATGTGAGATAGCCTGCTTTGCAAGCAGTCAGACTGTACATCACTTTAAGAGGTTCTGTCTAATGAAAGAAGGAAAGGTGAATGGACTAAAAGCCTTCCTCCCATTTAGAGCAATTCCTGTGCATGACATGCAGTCTGCCCCAGGCTTCTGCTGCCCCAAGCTAGCCTCACCTCCCCTCCTGCAGCTTGCACAGCCCTGATGACAACACATCTGCATTAGAACTCTACAGGCCTGATTTGCATTTCTATTTTCTCTTGCCAGTCAACATCAGCTGCCAAAGCGGGATCTGTAAACCTAATTACACCCCTTTGCTAGATTGCCTCATTCTTGAAACATGCCATGAAGTAATATGTGATACAAATTACTGTGAAGGGGGGGGGAGGGTGAAGGCATGCGGAAAGGAAATTAATATATATAAAATATAATCAATTTTCAGAATAATTTATAATAGACATTAGTATAGTTCACTATATTTAATTTCTAAAAACATTACAAATGGATTCTATTCATATATTGTGGGAGATGTTAGCAATTGGGGAGTGCACAGGGTAACAGCATGCATGTTATTTTTTCATGATACAGTCATTAATGGTGAAGTAGGGCAGAGTTCCTAACTGAGATGAGTACGCCAGTGTGTTAAGCACTATTAAAACACACCATGGGATGTATCCTTGCCCTAGGTCTAATGCCTCAATCCAGTAAAGATCTCCTTATTTCTTTTATTACGAGCAGTGCTCAGTCATTGTGTTGTTGACAACAGAGTGCAAAATAGAGAGCAGGTGCTCATATTTTTGTAGCATCACGGCCAAAGGCAGAAGAAAATGCTACTTTCTTCAATTTGTTCAAACAGTACTGAAATAAAGAAGTTCTATTTGCTCACCTCATCTAAGAACTCAAGGACATGTCTAGACTTTGCCACTTGAGGGTCCCAGTGAGGTAGGTGTATAGTCCTAAGTACCTTATTGAGATAAAGGATGCTGCCAAATGTTACACAGGAATTCTGTGCCGAAGTCAAGCCTTGACTCCTGAACCATAAAACCACTCTGCCTTGCTACAGAGCACAGCAAGGGCTGCAGAGAGAAGCTCGGCTAATAGGCTTACAAAAAATTGCAGGGGAGAGATTTTGTCTTTCTTTGGCTTGTTTTTAGAACAATCATTTGACAGGCAGCTTGTCAAAATGTAACTTACAAGGATGACACATACACAACAGCAGGCTGAAATCAGGGAGAGCTACATTGCAGAATCCCCCGTGCAGCTGGAAGGTACAACTGCATGCTCCTCTTCCCTTTCCACTACCCCCCATGCTGGTACATTTGCTTTCTGTAGCAGAGCCAGGGAGGTAGCCAGGCTGTGGGTGAATGTTGCTGGAGTGAGCAGGGCAACGTACCGTTCAGCTGCTGGCACACGGCCACTTGGCTTGGCTTCAGCACAAACTGGCACTGCAGCTCCTGGGGCAGCTGCTCCGTCAGGAAAGACTCCTGAAGCTGCTTGGGGCAGGCACAGTGCTTTGATCCATGGGGCATAGCGTCGCGAATGTGGCTCATTTTAATTCCAAAGGGATATTCATGTCCTGTTCAAAGAGAAATCATCATAATCTGTGTTGGATTGACTGGAGACTTGCAAAACTCCATCTGCCCTGGATGGAAGCAGATTTTGCTTGCTGGCCTGCAGCACTTTCTCTTTCAGTAATCTAAGAATTGACACTTTTCTCCATATTTACACAGGAACAAATCATACACTGGCAGATAGGGAGTTACTGTGTTTGGTGCAGTTAATCAGATGTAAAAGTAAAATCAGACCTATTACAGCTGTATCACATAAAAGCCCATCAGAAAAATACAGATGTTTACTATTTCTACTGCTTTTCTTGGAGTACTGAAAGTTTAGGTATTGATAGCTTGTATCATTCTGGAGAGAAATGAGATTTGGGGAGCAGTCATTTTTGCTAAGCACGCAAACCCCCAAAAAAATCCAGAGTGAAAGTGATCTTCCCTCCTTCTCCGTGTTAAGTGCAACAGCCATCAACTCAGTCAAACGAGACACAATTATGGTTCTCGTCTGAGGCTGAAACAGGAAGGAAACGTTAATCACAAGGCTAATGCAAATGAGCTACACTTGGCTTTAACCAGCATCTTTGGGGACTACACAGACGCAATTCATTTCTGGAGGAGCTTTCAAAAATGCCACCGGAAAGATGTTTTTCAGACTTCTCTAAAGACCTGGCAGATGAAATATATTAAATATGGATGCAATGCTAAGATGTTTTAGTTAGCTTACAGATAGACTTGAGCACTGAGATTGGAAGAGATGTTATTTGAGATTGCAGGTAGTATGAAGCTTTGGCACAGTCAAAACTCTGCTTCTGATGTCTACCTATCATAAAAGCCGGTCTTATCTAATAAACCTCTGCATAAATATCATGAACAGCATCACTTTCATACTCCAAGGATTCTTCTTTTCCAAGGATTGTAATTTGAATTTGCAGTGAAAATCGGTCAATTAGAAAGGCCTTTACCATTTCTGAATTCTCTGATTCTATGTTTAGAGCTGTGGCTGTGATTTATTCTGAAGAAGATACACAATAATGGTCAGAAAGCCAAAGTCTGGTATTTTTCAAAGGCAAAACAGTTTGCACTGTCTATAAGGTGCGCAAGGAAGACCTTTTATAAATTTAATGTTGTCTGACTCCAGCAAAGCATTTGTAACTAAGGCTGCTTTGAAAAGGAATGCTAAGATTTACTGGGGTTAGATCTGCAAGAGGTAAAACCAGAAAATTCATAAGTTTTTCTTGTTCTAATCATCTGCAAACTCTTATAGCACAAGTAATGCTGGGCTTCTACAGGGAAAGGTTATTAATAATAGGAAGGGATTTGTTCTTAGTGAATTATGGGCCAAAATCAAATCACTCCATCCAATCACTTCTGAACTTTGGGTTGGTTTTGGTGGACAAAATGTTTTGAAAACCATTTTAGAAAGAGAATAAGCACTAATTGGCTCCTAATCAGAGGGGAGCTGCCAGCGAAAAATAGGGGATTAAAAAGGACGTCTTGAATCGGTTAACTTGAGTTAACAACAGAACATTTCTCGAAAGTCTGCTGGGTTTTACTGAGGAGGGAAATAAACAATGCTATGGAGGTGTAGGAAGAAGTATGGTAAAGCTGGACAGCCTCGAGGTTGATGTCCCCAGGAGGGGATGAGTGGAGAGGCCAACTCTGCAGAAAGACTGGGGCTCATGCAGCAAAACTGGGGCAGAAATAAATGACCTTTTCCAACCTCTTCGTGACACAAGCTCTTCAAAGCAAAGGATCAGCATCTGACTAGCTCCCCAAATAAGCAACCTTGTGTGACAGGGAAGTAAGAGAAAAAACAGGAAAAACAAAAGAGGAAACCGCATTTCAGTCTTCCCTATATTTCTTGCTTCCTTCAGCACTAAAAGCTGAGTGAATATTGAAAAAAACAATGTCAAGAACTTACCAATAAGAGGGTAAGGAGCATGTTCTCTTCCTGAAATCACCCACAGCTTGTAATCTTTTTCAGAGCCCTTTAAAAGCAAAATTAAGAAAAAGTTTGCCAGCCATTAAGGACAGGTTCATGTAAGGTTTCTCACAATATAAGGACAATCTGCACCTTGTCAGCAGCGTTTACCTTCCAGCACCAAAGCTTGCCACCAGCAAAGTTTCTGAATTGTGTCTGTCATGTGCAATCTGGTTATGTGACCAGGATTCAGCTCTGAGCATTGAGAGGTGATGGAGCCCATAATTTCTGAGAGTAAAGGGGGAGGTTTCCCCCAATTCTTTCAGTGCTTCTGGAAGCAGGGGGATGGATGTCCCAGCCCACTTTGCCCTGCAGCACTGAGCAGCACCCAGCGCCACAGAGAGAGAGGTCTGATCCCCCGGAGGGATTACAGCTAAGCAGCACAAGGAGGAGGATGTCTGCTGCAGGGCATGGGGCAGACAGCAGGCAGTCCCTGTGAGCTGAGATCACCCTTCAGCTCCATCCTGAGTACCACGGAAATCACACCCTCTGGGATGTACTCTGGCATACAGGGACCCCCAAGCCTCACATCTGAGAACTCTGTTCCACCACTGCTCCAGCTTCTCTACGTCCCCTGCAAGAAGGAGGAGCTCAGGCTTGTGAGCCTGTGACCCATGCTGGAAGGCAGGGCAGGAGCACCTTCACCCAAGACCTGAGCCAACTCTGATGATGCCAAGGCAAAGATGGCACCCATGGGGCTCCTGGCACTCAACACTGCCCCAAAATCTCCTTGTAGGGCTGCTGTCAGCCCTTTTGTGCAGCCCTTTTGTGTGGAAATGCTTGGGAGCACTGGAAGGGGTTTTAGACTGCTGAGCCCTCTATAAAATGTACAGTGGAGAGAATAAATTTACATCAAAGGAGGCAATTTTCAAAGGACTGGAGAATGTGATCATCTCTGCGAAAAGTTGAGTAAAACCTCTGATTTGAAAGCAAATTCAAAATATTGCCTTTAGCATAAATATACAAGTCAATGTTGCAGTTTAATTGAAGAAAGAGAATAATACTGTTTTCAGATATGATGGTGAGACAATAGAAGTAAAAAGAATGACATCTAATATAAACCACACTCAGGACAAAAGGAAATAGCAAGTGGATAAATACACTGCATTAAAAGTGATCTATTTTACCTTAAATTACTTTTCAGTGATACTGCTCAATCAGGATAATTAAAATCTAAAAGTTTTCTGTCTACAAAAGGTGATAAATACCTCACGACAGTATCTATTTATCGCTAAAGTTAAATCCTACCTCTTTTCAAACAATTTGCCTACTCTCCTGCATTGTCTGGACCTTCACCCAGTGTCCCCAAGGCTCTTGAGACTCTTCCTACTTGCTGCACGCACCTGGTGTAATGCTGATACATCCAATAAAGCCTTTGCAGTTTGCTTTCTGACTGACAGAGCTTTTTGGCCCATATTAGCACTGCTGTTAAGTTAGCTAGCAGGGGGCAGAAGGAAAACAAATAGGCTTTGGAGACATCTCATGCCTCAGGGCAAGCAGCCAGGACCAAATAAATACAGCTGAGGAGCACAGGAAAGGGTATTTGCTTTTCCTTTTACACATATATATGAAAGGGTTTGTTGCTGTGAAGGGGAAGCAGGAGAAGGGAAAGAGCTAGTAAATGTGGCTTTCAGGAGGCAAACTGCTCATCTCCTGACTTCAAATGCTGTCCTTTATAGGCCTTAGGAGGCCATTTGTCAGTATAAATATGACTGTCCCAGAAAAGTCAGCAAGTGTAATTACAGAGCTGGGAAACCCAACGCCCTTCTTTCTGCCCCATTTGATAATTTGTAACAGATGATCAATGCCATTTTGCACGAGCTAGTTGTCATTTTACCAGAGAAACCACAGAGGAAAAAACCCTGATGTGTTAAACCAGAGTGAACTCAGCCAAAGTAATAGGGCCATTAATCACACAATATGTGAAATGTAGTTTTTATAATTGCCATTGAAAAGTCATAAAGCTTCTTTCAAGTGGTCCTCTCTAGACATAATAAAAAACCTTGCATAACGAGAAGCTTCCTCACAATCAGAACAACACTATGAGGGGTTTGGGTGTTTGATTGATACCCAGGCTACAGCTTAATTTATTTAGCTTGTTTGAATTTATTGCTAATCTTATGATATCCCTATAATGGAAAAAGGCTTTATGCAATAAAGAAGCAGTGAAAAAATGTAGTATATTACTTGGGCAAATAATTCTGCAGGCAAGATTTTACATCTTTCAGATGGCTTTCCTTCTTTCTCCACTTGAAATAAAAATGTGAAGAGAAGGAAAGGGTTGATTGTAATACATACAAAAGAACACAATGCTGAAACCTAACCAGCTCCTCCTCCTGCTCATCTCAGAGTATTCTCTTTGAATACTACCATTTTCTGTTTTTTCTGTACACAAAATGAGGAAGTGCAAATGACACCTGTAAAATGGGTAAAAATGAAGCACATCGCAATAAAGACCTGCAGTTGTGACATAGCATAGTGCCCTGATTTTTGGTGCCGAAAATCTGCAATTAAAATCCTAATTTTAAGTCACATCTTATCCTTTTCACCTTGCAACACCCTCCATGAACTCCAGAGCTTCCTTAATTGGATAGACTACTGGATTCTGAGTGCAGGCCAGAGCTCCAGCCCTCGTGTAAATGGGATGTCTGAGCCATAACAAGGTGGGTAGACAAAAATTGCTGTGCTTGAGAAATGCCAAGCTAGTAGAATAGACCCCTGCATTAAAAGCCTCTATAAATTAGGGATAAGGGATTATAGGGAATGCTAATTCTGAGGTTACTCCAACTTTTGCTGTGAATATCCAGAAGCCTCAGGGAAGCAGAATAGTGGCATTTTGCTCATATTTAACTCTTCAGACCCAGGGCTGTGGTGAGGAAAGGCTTGTCAAATTCTATGCAATGAGATCAACATACGCACAAAGAGTAAGACATTTAAAAAAATCTTATTACCCAAACAGCAGACTGGCAGGCCAGTTAAAAAGCTGTCATCCAGGAGCTTCTATATGATCACTGGTGTTGGTTTGAGCCACATTGTGAAACAGAATAAGGGAGCCAGAATTCTTGTCCTTGGCACTGATTCATTATTACACCTGAAGCACTACCTGGTCTGGTTTAGAGCAAAGGATGCCAGCTGAGGCAGTACTTGATATTGTAAGGATTGCTGCATCTGTTTGGTACTACCCTGCATTACCATAAGTCCTGTAAAAGCCTTTTTCCAAAACAGGACATTGCTTAAATTGGGTGCATCCAGATCCTGTGCATTCAGATTCAGACTGGGTGCATTCAGACTCTGTGCATTCAGAGTCCCTGCATTATTGTAAGTTCAGCAAAAGCTTTTTTCCGAAACAGTGTCAGGACATTGCTTAAATTGGATGCATTCAGATTCCGTGCAATCACTTAGTTACATTCTTGTCTCACATAACTCTAAAGGTCCATGGATATTTAGAGTACCTGGTTCGGACACTTGAGAGCAGTGCTTGTACTTGCCATCTGGGGACACAGCTGATCATGCATGTTTGCACATTTTGAAACCAACTAACAGACAGGTCAGTAGGTTTCCTGTTCACACTGAAGCATGCAAAAGGAGCTCTATCAAACTCTCAGTTCATGTGTCAGGATGTCTCCTCTTAGGCTTCAGCAAAACAGATTTAAAAGCAACTTGAAACATGACTGATCCCTTATAGGGATGAGAGACGTACTCAAAACTTTTAAGGCACTTATTAATCTCTGGAGGTCTGTATATTAGCAAGGCACTTCTGCTGCACTTCAATAACTCTGAATTGCTATATTAAAGGATTTAATTAATGTTCATATCCTAAAACTTGGAAAAAGTGCAAGGGAAGATCTGATTGTTATAAGTGACTACAAAAAAAGACTCATTAAAACTGGTGCAAGGACTTACATTAATTCCCAGTTGCTGCAGGGCCATCAGAATTACATCGTTTGCTGTATCAACATTGGTTACACTTATGGTTTTTGACTGTGAACAGAAAAAAGGAGAAGGGGAAAGTGGCATTAAAAATTTGGATTTGCAAAGAGTATCTGAAGTGCAGTAGCTCTGCATAATTCATTGTTGGAAAAAATTGAGAATATCCTGTTAAAATTTTACGTGTTAAATAAATTATACTACATAGATAAAGGTCCTGTCTGAGATCAAGGTTTGATTTCCTCTGCTTTGTCACATACTTTCTGTATTTGCTCCATGCTTCCCTAGCAGCTCCATCAGTGCCATGATTACTGAGGACAGGACTTCCACATTAAAATATGCAAAAAGGCAGAACTACTAGCTGCACTTTAGACACTGCACAAGGGAAACACAATGGTTTGATTAATTTAAAAGCACACAAGTTTCCTTTGAAAAAATTGAACATTTCAGTGAGTTTTTTCAGTGAAATATCAATTGTTAATAATTTCTCTCCTTTTCAACTGAAGTGTTCCCTGGCAAGAACATAGTGTGCACAGGCTGTTCACCTCTACCACCTTTGCCACATTCTATATAGATTTCTCAGAGCTGGATCTAGCTTAGTACCAGAAGCACTTCCTCTTGGTAATCTTTCACCCAGTTAAAATGCTACCTCTCTCCAGCAGCCTCCAGAATCTGCTGATTGCCAGTATGGAAAAGCATGGAGCAGCAGAGACACCACTTTCTAAACAATTATGGTGACTGGCATGGAGTGCCAAGCTTTGGCTGGTGAAAGTGCTGCTTTCCACAGGGCAGTCTTTCCAGAGTGAGATTTCAGCATCTGCTGCCTGGAACCAGTACTCCTCCCATACTGCTGTGCAATGCTCTGTGCCTCAGCTCCATGGGTTGCCCTTAGCATCAAACACACTCGGATTGACTCTACCCTCAGCCCTGCTGGAATGTGGCAACACCACTGCCATCACCTTGCAGAGGCAAAAACAGTGGTGGAAGTTTGTCCAGAGTGGTTTTTGCTTGCAGCATTGTAACCATGCTGGTCTCACTCCCAAGCTAACAGGGCAACTCCCACACAAAAAGCACAAGTCACTAAGCCCTCTTTAGAGGCTTGGCTCCACCACCAACACTACACAGTTTTTGGACTGCAGCTGGTTCCTGGCCAGACTAAAGTCTTGGCAGAACAAAGGCATGCCCACTGCAACAAACCACCCAGGCGTATCTGATGGCCCAAACAAGGAGAGGTGGCAGAGCTGGGATGTAGAAGTTCATTGCCAGTCCCAAGACAGTTTGCAATACCCTGATACCTTCTGTAGCATATCAATTTTATGCCGGCCATAAGGTGTTCAGGTGAAACAACCCCCTGACATTTTGCATTTAGAAAAGATCTGAGCTGTACATTTGTGTAAGTTCCTGACGGTAACAAGCTGCCATGGCAATGAAAGGAAAGTTGTGAGAATACGGTATATCTTGCTTTAGGACATATCTGAACGCTCATACCATAAAAAATTTAACATTTGCCTGTAGCAATGACATCTGGCTCTCAGGAGTAGGTCAGAACATTTGCATAAGTTTTGCTCTTGGCAAGAATACAATAAAATGGTTTGTGCCTCGTGTTCAGCCTCCCTTACTGTCCAAAATCAAAATAATTCTTGGGCATCTCCAGCCGCTATAGCAGGAACCACGCTGCAATAAGAACTATTCGCATCACAGAATTTCTATCTGTTCCTCCTCTGTTTTATTACTGATAAAATCCAGACTATAGGGTGTCATTTCTAGGACTGTCAGGATCCAGAAACCATATCTGGCACATGAGCTAATTACTGCTAAGGAGAAAAGGCATTTAAAAAAACCCCAACAAACTCTGGTACAAGACTGCAACCGCCGAGAGCATGTATGATTTACAGACTTTTACACCTGATCAGACCTTGATCTGTAGTCTTGCATTTGAACTATCACAATTTTTGGTATTGTTTATTAATTTTTGTCTTAGCAACCTGGCAATTATATTATTCTTTAATTATTATTTTCTGAAAAAAAAAAGGCAGACTCCTTTATGCTTTCATCTATGCAAATACAGAATTCTAAGTGGTGATTCACCGCTGGGCAAAGATCTTCAGTGAAATTTGACTTCTGTCAAAATTTCTCATTCCCTTGCACATGCTTCTTGGGGTTCTGAGCTTGAAATAAAGATGTTACAAGAAAGAAAAGACAAATGTAGAAGAAACAAAGGAAGAATGAGTGGATTATCACTGAATGCTAGGGTATCCCTATGGAACTGGCTACATATAAGAACTTAGTTTAAATTGGTTAAAACTTACTTAGTCAAAAAAGTGCAAATCACCCTGTGGATGACTTTTTTTTACTATTTATACTTTGCCTATAAATTTACCAGCATCAATTAGTTGATGAAAAACACGCTTAATGCAATTTCAGGGTGTTTTTACACACTGCTTTCCTGACTTAAGATCACTATAAACCACAAAACACACTGCAGCTTTGCAGAATTGAATGAAGGCAGTTGGGGGTTTAGATAAGTTTTATAAGCAAAAAAAAGGGTACATTGTGCTGGCATTTCTGAAGATGCTTATGCGTAAGTTCCGCTGGAGGTGTTTCTTGGGACTTCACACTGTACAGTCTTTAGTTTGTATGCCAGAAGCAGTATTTCTTACCATTCACACTGTCTTTAAAACGGAAGTCATGTATTAAACACAGGGAACAAACATGTCAGGGCTGCGTACGCCAAGTCTTTTCAAGGGGCTGAATCCCTAAAGTAGATTGCAAATCAAAGGAATCCTTTCAATATCCAAAGGATTTGCAGGTCACTAGCACTCACAGGTGATATGGATTTGGACACCTGTTTAACTCAAGAGCACTTACATATGCACAAGTTCCCACGTCTTTTGCAATTATCGTCACAGGAATCCTTTTAGGATTGTCTTTTTCCTTCTCTTCTCTTATTTGTCTGACAAAGAAAGTACAAAACAGGTAAATTTTTAATATTGCAAATACAAATAGCAAGACATATATTTAAATAGCAATCAAGCAGTAACTGGATAAGAAGCAGACTGTTTGCAGATGTACTGCACTAGAAAGATCTCCAAAGAAAAGAGAGCATCCAGCAGCAGTATCTGGAAGGGATGCCAATTGTGGTCCCCAGTAATGCCTTTGTTGCATTGAAGTTCATTGTAGAAATCAGAGTAATCAGCAGAGAAAGTGAATAGAAAAAATCAAGCTAAAACTACCCATCATTGTGATGCCTCAGTCTGCACTAAAAGCTCCTACTGGAATCAGTTACATCAGTACAGATTAGTTCAAAGGACTGAACAGGAGAAGAGTGAACTGGAAAACATCCCAGCAAGAACGATTTAAAAAATCCAGGAACTCTGAAGAATCAGATCAAGACAGAAACCTCAACCAGAAGAACTGGTGACCAGAAAGCAGAACTATCACTGTCTGTCCAAACACTGAACGAAATAAAACAGCTCTATTTACACAAACCCTCCCACCATACCCTCCAACTTGCGGTATGTTCTGTAAGACCAAAATATAGCTGGCCACGAGCAGCAGACAGGTTAGAGCAGAGGTCCTGAGCTGGGCTTACTTAGATGCCGTCAAAATGGAAAGAGCTCCAGTCTCAACCAGAGCAACAGTGGCAGAGGCTTCTGATGCTGCATGGGGAAGGAATAATGTGTATGAGGAATTGCTCTGATTTTGTGCTGAGCACAGGGAAGCGATTCCCTCCTTGCACAATGATTGTTGCATAAAAGGCATATACCATTTTCTGCAGGAAGAAGAGAAGGTATTTTTTTCCTTAATATCACTTTGAAAGAGCTTATCTATCATGATGGCATAGGCACCACAGCTTGGGGATCACTGGTCTAGACTAGGACTCTTTTCAATGTCTTTAAAGACCACATAAAAAAGTACCTCTGCAAATAAGAGAGCCATGTTTCCTTTTGTTCTGCAGACCTGAAAATTAAAACAAAGCAGGGACAAATCAGCCATCATTTTAATACTAATATAGTCCTCGTACAAACCTCAGCGGAATGGACTGTTTCTTGGTTGCAATTTTATAAATACCTGCAAAAACTAAAAGATTTATCCAGATTTGAATGAAAAGTCTGCTTCCTTGCAAAGTCAACTGAATAGCCTGCTCAAGGAGACCAAAGGCCCCAGTTAACAGTTTTTGTCACAGAATTCAAAGTTTTTCCAATTAATTCAGTAGGAAAAGTATTGATTTCTTAAACTAGTGTCCAAATAGAAGAGGAGGGCACTTTAAAATAAGAGTTTAATTCAAAAGTTTAAAGGTATTTCATCAGGTATACAGACTTCTTTCCACTTTCACTATTCTAATTATCTTCTTGTTTATTAGTTGTTTTATCAGCACATCACAAAGTACACATACGCCCATTGTGCTTAGTACAGTTAAACTTTGGACATTCTAAGGCTTATCTCATTTATCTTTCTCTCATTTATACACTTTCAATGATACAAAGCTGTCCAGTTAAATGTAGCTAATAATAGGACTGTTCAAGGAGACTAACCTAATTTTGCTTCAACTTTCTTCATTTAAATCCTGTCCCAGATGGAGTAACTGCTATTCCCACTGCTGCTTTTGTAAATCAAGTTTCTTCAAATTTTCAGAGAAGGCATTTAGGGAACAACAAACCTTCTGAATGATGCTGTGAGGGGAATGCTACAAATGTAAATGCTATAAATATGACTGCTTTGGCTCTTTCAGTTATATTGGCATCTTTGGACTCACCCATGGCATTTTAGATTTTTCGGTGTACCTCCAGACATAAAACAATTTCACTGCTATAAAATCTCTGACTCTTTTTTTATTTAAGCTATTGCTTTCCTATTCAACTACCTTGTGATATCTATAAAGGATCACATACTGTATCTAGATCAAAGCTCATGTTTATTGGCAAGAGTTCAACTGAAAATCAATAGAAAATTTCATCTCTGTTTCAGGGCTACTAACGTGTAAAAACCATAAACAGCACAACCAACTCAAGAGAGTGCAGTTTGTACACAGCATTCTCTTTGGGTAAGGACAATGTGATACAGAAATTAAACTGGATACTTCAGCTTTTGCTCTATGTTGATAAAGAAGAAAATGCATTTTCCAAGACTCAGGCAAATTACCATGGCTAAGCAGCTGGGATTTCAGGGGGATGTGCCCTCCCTCCTCCAAAGTGACGACAGAGCCCTCCTGCTGAGACTAAAATTAGCCTAATCACTGAAATTACCTCTACAGCCCTTATGTGTGCTACAGTCAATGCTGCGAAGACAGTCCAAAAATCTTTCTATTAAAATTCAGAGATTCTGCCTTAAGAGGAATTTTGACATTTTCTCTGGCACAATTAAATAGAACAGAGAAATAGGACAAGGTCAGTATTTCACTGTATGTTTTTTGCTATTTCCAATACCTGCTCTTCTGTTTAAAACTGTCTCTTTGATTCTTTCATTAGCTTGTCTGTTTAATATTTGTAGCTCATCTTATTAATTAACCAAGGTGTTCATCAAGTTACACCAAAGAAAAAAAAAGGAAAATTTCCACTGAGCAAGTGCTATGCCAAGTTACATATTTTCTTAATTTTTAAAATGATAAGCAAGTACCCCTGCTCAATTTGGAGGGATAAAGAAGATGAGGTGTGGAGGGTGACTTGCTCACAGGAGTAGAAGGAATTGGTTTAACAATCAGCAAATTGCTGCTCCCCACATTCACTGGTGCTGAAATGAATTTGTGATAGTCTCGTTACCTGCCAGCCTAAAAACATTTAAGTAACTTGAAATAAAACATATCTCAATTCTTACCTGAAATTTGCCACACAGTTTGTGGTGGGCCAGCCCAAAACAAAGGATCTCTCTGGGTCTGTGCTGCCTTCACAGACTTCTTCTGTACAAAATGCTGTCCACATCTCACAGAGACGGGCTTGGCACTTTAGTTTGAAATGAGAGTGTGACCTGCAGGCAGAAAATCATAGGTAAGTCACACAGATGAAAACATACCAAGGCAGATTAAACAACTAGAGATTTTTCTTCCTTCAGGCACACGTGAAGCTTGCACTGGAGCTGATAGAAGAAGCTCTTCTGCTTCAGTTAAAGAAAACAATGTTTTGTTGGGTTACATATAAAAACGTATCAATTTCTCATTTGAATGGGATCAACAGATCTCTTATTTGTGGAATAAACAGATTGCTTGTGGCATCCCTGGGAATCGCCCTTCTTAGGGGAAAACTTCTGTTCATGCCTAGAGTTCTCCAAATCTCGCCATGAGGCAAAGATTGCCACTTGTACTTGAGTCTTCTTTCAGTGACTTTAATGCTATTGAGGAGTTTATAATACAGTTCTATTGCTTAGCCCCAGGGTCAAAAACTATGATGAGTTTAAGTAGTGACAACTAGGTCAGGACAAATGAAGCAATCCTGAAGACAGAACAAGCAGAAACTGCCATTTGTGTTAACTACAGAACAGGTCACCATACAGTCTCCACGAACTGGCTGCATGGTAGTTTTAGGTCCACATCACTTGGAGAATGAGCCAGAACTTTGTGCATTCTCAAAATATTCACTCATCTCTAAGGAAGATATACAATTTCCCCACTTTTTAAAAATTTGGCCCTTCCTGTGTTTTATCCTACTAAACAATAAAGGTCAATATTACACAATTTCACATTTTAATTTCAACTCTTTTCTTCCACCTATTTTCTCATTATAAGTCTCCTTCCTTTGTAGGACTGGTGGGTGCTAGTGTTATGTGAGAAACAAGTAAAAACTCAGAGTCAGTGCAGCTCTGTAGCACTGCAACAGCCACTCACTTTAAGCCTTGCAGTTGGAACTACCTGAACTATGGTTGTCCTGAGCCATCAGGGAAGGGCTGGAGCAAAAGTGTTCCCTTCCTGAAACCAAGAGGACATGCAAGCAAGAGCATGTCAGGTCACCACTGTGTTGCAAACATGATGGGAACAGTGCCGGGCACTGTGGTGATTAGTTAGGGCTCTATAAATAAATATGCCAAGTAAGCAGTTTCCTATGGCTTTGATACATGTGGGCCACCTTCTCTGAGATTAGTCTCATTTACAAGGTATTTGACTTAGAACAGACTGAACTAATGCAGTTGGAATCACGAAAGTACTTGAACCTTGTGGCTTTCAAGAGGACATAGGTGAACTTGCAGTACCCTGACTGGTTTCCAGCTGACATTGTACTAACACGTGTGGTGAGATGGTGTGCAGCAACGCTCGCGGTGTTGGGCAAGAAAGGACTATCAGTGTATATCAAACCCGGTAAAAAGATGCACTGCCATTTGATTATCATAAAATACTGTAAAATACCATCTCAAGTTCCTGTAAACACCATGTTCAGCTAAACTAAGACCATGGTGTTTCCTGATCAGTTGAACACTTCACCTCTCTTCACTCTATTATGTTCTGCGGCCCAATCAAAGAGAAACTTAAAGTACAGGAGAACATTTCAGCATGCTTGTTCTAAATTAGTTTATGATGCAACAAGTAAGGTCTATCAAGAATACAAAAATAACTGTATTCTGACTGACCACAGAATGAACTGTAAAAATGTAGATTTACAAAAAAATACAGCTGTGAATTCTAATGTAGATGTTAATAAATGGAGATCTGGTCTTACTCCACCGAATCAACCTGTTGACCCTCCCTTTCTCCTTAACTTTTTTTCCCATTACCCAGTACAGTGAACACTCTACATGCTGTTTCACTTTTTTAACATTTACAGTTCATAAAGCCAGATCCCTAAAGTGCCAGTAGCAGGTGTCAGCAGGGTGTTGGCAGAAGCACAAGGATGTTCTCCAATCATGCTTGATGTATATTCTTGCCCTGTTTGCCATGCGTAGTCACAGCTTTCAGCTATTATCAGTATTCAAGTGGCCTGGTTTCCAGAGGCACTGAAACAGTAGCCTCCATTAACATCTAAAGAGCCTGAAGTATATTTTTATCCCTATCTGCCATGTCCTTTATGCAATCCATGGGTTCTCAGCATTTGTGAAATGTGGGCCTTCTACTGAAGTGCCAAAAGCATTACCTCTAGAAATGGATGTATCATTGCTAAGAAAGCAGCATGACTGAACGTTTTAAAAATGGCCAGAGTAAAATCTAACGAATATTATATACATTTTTAAGGAAGTCCCCTAGCAAATGTTACCGTAAACATCAGGCAGATCCCAAGTCCACTGAAATCAAGAGAAAAATCATGAATATCAATGGTGCAGGTACTGATTCACTCCATGCAGGGCACTTGCAATTCCTCTTGCTTGCAATTGGATACTTTGCAACCGATAACAGATGGAAGATTAACTTCTCACTGGATTTGCTAATCTCCTTAATAGGACCCTCTGACAAAAGCATTAATGGACCTACTGTGAGATTGCTACCATAATTTCATGTATGCACTTAACCATTACTTTCTATGTCCAGACATGTTGGGAAAATAACCTTAAAAGGCATGTTTATGTACATGGGTGCACATTACACAGGAGAAAGAGGAAATCATTTCTCTGTGCCTTCCACATAAAAATTTACGTGAGAAACCTTCATCATTTAATTGACAGATCCTTGAAGTCTCTACTCTGCCAAATAAAAAGACGTGCTCTCTGTAAGAAATCTAATCAATATATAGAAAAGAGTATATAATATTTTACATACTTAACTTTGGTTTAGTGAGAAAAACTCTTTCAATCAATTCATTTGTGACTTAATCCCCACATGAAGGCAGTGAAGGACAGGGCAGCAGAGGGCCACAGCATGTGAGTATTATTCTTATTTTTAATAAGCTAGTATAATGCACAATCAGAAAACATAACAGTCTACATTTCAGAAACTATTAGAAAGTAGCAAAAAATGAACCTAGAGGCCCCTTGTCCAAAGTCATACATGGACCAGTTGTATAGAGGACTTACCCCTCACAAATTTCCGTGGGAGCAATGCCAACTGGCTGCCTTTAAGCAGGAATTCAGTGCTATACAGTAGTTTACTTAGCAAGCTCAAAAGACACAAGACACTTGTTGCTCTCTTTAGGAAAAACTTGTACCTGTTTGCTGATCATACGAAGCCTCATTATACATGAGCTCCCTTTGTACAGTGACTGGATACCTGCAGCAGAGCTGACACCAGCACAGCACCGAGCTGTACCAAAGATACCGTAGGGGTTCATTTGCCTTAAGCCAAAAAACTACTGAAGACAAGGGAGTATTACAAATTTTTAGCACCTTCACAAGGAATAATTCTGAAGTTAAGTCATATTCAACCATATCAATAACTCTGTCCTGGTCTGACTGCTTCGACTCTGCACCAGGCTATTAAAAAGTCAATAGCAATCAACAGTCACAGCCACACAGCAATACACACACTCAGGTCTTCCTTCTAGGAACCAGCACTGGTAAGACAGCTTTAAAAATGCTGATTTTTAAGTAGCATTCATTAGTGACAGCTCTGATGCTTTAATTGCTGACAGGGCAGCTGTAAAGAGAACATCCCAATTAGATCTTCAAAACACATGAAGTAATATCACTCAAAATACTCTTTTTACCATTTCTAGCAAAGACTTGCCCCCCCTCCCATTTCACATGCAAAAGCACAATTTGTTCTCTTCTACCTTTTTCAAACATTGCAGTCTCTGCTCCACATTAAATCACATGCTGTAAGAGCTGTGATTACTCCCTGGGGACCAGGTTTTTGTGTGGTTACACCAAGTAGTGCTTTCCTATGCAAATAGTCCCACTGGGACCCAGTCAAACCTTCAGTAATGTGCAGCTCAGCCTGGGGCTGTAACATAGCTTCTGCTCAGCATGCTGACCAGGGTGTGAGGGATTTACCCCTTCTGACTTCAGTCTTCTACAATTTAGGAGCTAAGCTAGTGGACAAAGACCACTGGATAGCCAGTGTACAGAGTGAGAGACCCCCAAGAACCTGACTCCCCTAATCTACTATCAACACTCTTTCAGCTCCAGGCGAGTTTGCTGCAGTAAGGTGCAGCTTCAGTGACTGTAAGACTGTAAGAGAAGCCTAGAAACCTGGGTAAGTTGCAAATAATTCACATTTTAAAGCTGAAATTAGGTGAGGTGAATTCCACTCTAAACAAGTAACAAACATAAATCAATACATTAACAATGTTGTTATTGCTACTGCTGGTAGAATAGCAAGGTTTCCCCTAAATATCCTTACGTTCACCACCCACCCATAGTGGAATATGTTTTGTGGAAAACATCCTCTGTGTTGTCACACCACATCAAGTGAGGGAGTTCAGCTGGGGGGGTTATGTTTACCATGTGTGATTCAAACAGACACGGCTCAGATTTCTACAGAAAACACAGATTTCTTTTGGCTTTTCCCAGAAGCCCCTGAAACTATTGCTTAAGCGAAATGACACATTGCAAAAGCCCAGGATTCACATTGAGACTGCCCACCCTGTGAAACCACAACACAGTGCCTAACAGAGAGTGAGGCTACATCAGGATTTTTTATTATTATTTCCCTATAACCCATAACAACAAGTGAAAGCACCCTCTAAAATTGCCTTAAACCACAAATGCCGCATGAAGCTGGCATGCTAGACACAGCTTGTAAATGTGATTTAATTGTGAATGGTAGAGTGAATAATCAGAGCTCAGCAGTAAGCCTGATTACACATGAACACTACCCAGACTGCCCAGCATCGCTTCCCCTTCCCCACACTCCTTCTGGCACAGGACAAACTGCAGAGACATACACTGTAATGCCATCTACAATCTCTATTTTTATACAGCTGCTCATCACTGGTGTGTATCCAAAGCAGCTTCCAGGTAAGGGTTAAGACCTCTAACCCCTCTGCAACCCACCACTGAGGTTACACACACCCCACAGGACTGAGGATGCCCTGTCTGAAACATGACAAGTTGAAGGTAGCACAGTAGACACAGCCGAGCACTCCCAGAGCGGAGAAGATTGCACAATGCAAGCAATACATCAAAGAACATCTGATACTTCCTTAAAATGTTGCATCCTGGAATTCCTCTATGGCTACAGGCCATACTCACTTGGACTTGGCAACAACCAGAATGTCTGTGAAGAGAAAAAGGTGTCGCTCCTGGGTCTGCAGACTTGTCTTCAGCTGCACATGGCCATCCAGGATGAACGTTCGGTTGTCGCCTATGAAAGACTGCACAAGAGGCCATGCCTCTGGGCTGACGGGGGACAAGCAGCCTTCCCTGAAAGAGGAAATAAAATAAATGGGATAAAGAAAAGCAAATCAGCCAGTTGCCTGTAAATTGAGAACCAGGCAATGAATCCCCATATCTGCTGCCAAAAGGCAGTTTATTCACATTTATTTCACATTTCAGTGAAAGGTGAAAGGGACGGAGAGGATAACTCAGCAGTCAGATTCTGACACAAAATCTATTAGGGACTGTCTTCACAGAATCTTTTACAGCCTAACCACATGTCTAGCATTTAGCAAAGGACAATAATTTAGACATTTTATCTTTTTGTATTTGCTTCCCTTCGTACTGAAGTCTTAGACAAAATACTTCACCTTCTCTGGGCTCTCCAAAAAGAGAGGAGACATATGCACGATGAACAAGTAACTGCACAACCACCTTGGTCAGAATAGGACTCATACTCAGGGTTAAAAGTGATTTATAGAGAGTGTTCAGAACCAAGGACAAACATAAGGTGTAACTGCACCTTGCAAGAGACAGACCATGTACTAGATGCAATATGAGACAAGGCTACTCAGCCTTTCTCTCTCCCAGCACACAACCCACAAACTCTGAAGTAAGCTCCTGCTGCAGGTTTTGGTTGTGTGACCAGAGCTACGCTCATCTGAGGTTGCTGGGTAATCCAAACCCAGGTCTATGGGGAAAAAATCAGACTCTCTCCTGGAAGACACTGATCTTTTCTAAGGAGGTATCGCAGAGTTTATAGGCCAAGGGGGAACCATGAGTTTCTCAACCCCTCCTATTCTGCATAAAGCAGTGGAATAGTTACTGAAGCAGAAATAGAGTTTCCCCAGCACAATGGTCAGCTCACTCATCCAGACAGGATATCCCTCATTTCTGAGTCTGGCTCTAACAAATGACTATTTATATGGAGCTGAACCTAACACACATGTGAGGGTTTGAGAGGATGACACTCCTTCTCTAGGGCTCACTAGATGCTTTTTGCAGGTCAGGCTCTCCCTTTGAAAGCCAGAGGCATGGCTTCCATTTCTCACAGGAAAGTGAGAGAACTAAACCTGGGTCTCCTACATTCTGGTGTACCTTAAATAATCAATTTCTGGATTAAAACCAAGACTTATCAGTATCTTTACTCATGATTTTAAAATCCAGCTTTCCAATTATTTGCTTTCCCTACAGATGCCTCCAAGTGAACCATTTCCCTCTGGTAGAATGGATCAGTTCAATTTTTATTCAAATGTATTATTTTTTCTTGTTAAAAAAAAATTAAGCTAACACTTGGCAGGATCAACTTGGCAAGGACAGGCTAAAGTGAACAGCTTTGCAATTCTAGTTTATTCCTGGCCCAAATGGAATGGATGACAAACACTTAATGACTTTGCTGGGAGAAGAAATGGAGCTCATGCAGTGAAAGTCACAAAATGAAACAGGAGGGAAATGAAAGAAAAGAAGAGTGAGCAGAGAAAACCTTCAAAGAAGGTCATAAACCTTCTTGTACCTCTCTTAGAGCCTATTTGACTCATGACCCTCCTCTCCTTGATACCTGTGGCTGGATTATGCAGGAAATTATTTAGGAAATCCTGACAGCTGGGGGAGAAAGGATAAGCTCTGAGATTGGCCTACATTAGCAGGACACACTTTCACTGATGTGCAAGGAGCTGATGAGGATCTCTGCCTGCTGGGGAGAGCTTTGCTTGGCCTTGGATTCCTCTTTCTGGCTGGGAATCTGAATTTTTAAAAAATTCCTCAACTTATTTTGTCTTAAACTATGTCTTAATCATGTCTTTCATTACCTACCCCTTCAGGGGAGAGAGAAAGAAGCAGAAGGGGTGTCCAGGAGTGTGGAGGTTAAAGCAGAGAGAGGAGTTTTGGTCCAGCACAACAGTGATACATGCTGTGTAGCCAGCAACAGGAATTAGGGGAACAACAAGCATCTCTTCTACTCTTCCACTTCCATAGGACGGGAATTTGCCAATTCACCAGTTCACTGGTGAGTGTTGGGTAACTGGGACTCCATTTCATTAACTCCCTAGCAGCACTTGGCACAGAAACTTAAGCAGAAATCAGGAATGATGATGAATCGACCTGTGTGAAAGCCATCCATGGTCCTTACCTCAAAGATTAAGCAGGAACATACTCACTTGTATTTGAACCCCATATCAACAACAGTTAGGAAAAACCCCTCCGTGTTACACTGCTGTAACCACATTAGCAGAAGCATTCTTAAAATCATAGGGTCATGCTTTTATATCTCCATATAGGTGACTCTGTTTGATTATTCCTGTTTGTGCATTTTCTGCACCCTGATTTGGAAGGCCAGGAACCTCTCAAATTAAACTAAGCAAAATCTTTGTCGTATAGATATGCAAATGAAAGTGTAGTAGGTTTAGTAATGCCAGTAGGGTCACGTAAATTGAACTGCATTTTGACCCAGTGCCTTTCAAGCACATCTGTCATCTGAATTCTAATAAGCACTCTTACATACTCTAATATTAGGGTTTACCTGATAAGCCTTATTTAAAAAAAAAAAAAAAAAAAAAAAAAAAAAAAAAAAAAAAAAAAAAAAAAAAAAAAAAAAAGGAAAAAATTTCTTCCCTAGAAACAAATTAGAAATAAAAAATCAAAGCCATTAATTCATTCAGAATCTTTTAAGGCCTCGGGAACAAGAAACACGGAGGAAATTCATGTCAGCAGTGCCAAAAATGTCATTTGGAAAGCATGCTTTTGATCCTTTCAATTAATGTTACATAGTTACAAGACATGAATGAAACCAAGTGTTGTTACATGGAAGAAAATGCAGATCAGCAATATCCTTGGGCATAGGGATTCATGTGAGAGAGATATTTCTGCAGTTCAGTTTTTAATGGCTCAATGATTTTTCTGGCCACTAAATGGGTCTAGGTCTGAAAAAGTGCTAAGTATACAAATGCCGATTCTTTGAAAATTCCTTTTAATAGAGTTAGGCAAACCACTGTACTTAAGCCAATGTGATTTCTGATATAATTAAAAAATAAGTCAGTGATGTAGGGCTCTCTCTGCCTTCGCTGTATTTCCCTAAAAGTCACTTTATGATTAACACACGTAAAAAATCCCACAAAGTAACATCTTTCCAGTTTGGCAGGAAAAAAAAGCCATCACCCAAGTTTTTTAAGGAGGAACTGTGAACTGATTCCTGAATAACGGCGATAGATGGGGATCCTGCAGAGTCAGCAATCAGTCATGTTCCATTTTGTGTAGAAGCAAGGCTGACACTGATGTTCTGATGGCATTGCCATTGTAAAACGCTAGTCTTAAGTGGACATTTTTTCCTAAAATACTATTTTGGAAGTGTGAAATTTCTATGCGGGATTTTAACGAAGGAGAAACTTTTGTAATTTGAGGATATCTACAAGATATTCATGACTTATTAAGAAAAAAATTAAAATCACTGTACTGGCTGAAATTAGCTGAAAGATAATTGAAGATTTCTCTCTTGGCATTTCCAGACCATAATTTTTTTTGCCTGTTACTTTTCAAATTAATAAAAATAGGCATTTTGTGCCTATTCAAAAGAACTGATTTAAAAGAACTCTTCAGTTTTGTAGGTGAAATATATGAAACTGAATTCCACACGAGTCAGCCAAACACTGAAAAATACATTCCAGCTGCATTCTGAGTGAAAGCAAACACATCAATGCTCACTTCATCGATCCTGTATTTACCAGAAGCTATAAAGCACAAAAAATACTTCTTTTTCCCCCTGCAGAGATTCCTTGGGGTTTCCAATAAAACTGATACCTGAATGGCATGACCTAGAAAATGTTTATTCTTGGTGTTAATGGAGATGTCAGCTTTATTATCTGTTTGTAGTGAAAACAATGAAAGAAATTATACTTTCCTAGGGAGAGTTTAACAGCCTGTGTTAAGTGGTTACTAAATCCATGATCCAAATGTCATTTATGCCAATGGGAAGCTTCCCCTGATTTCAGCTGATGACTACTTCAGCCTATCTATGATTTAGATTAAGCTATAAGATGCCTCAGGGGAACAATCTGTTCCAAGGTGGCTAAGCTGGAATGAGCTATTGCAGGTATCTCAGCTGTAAGACATCCCTCTCAGAGACTGCTCCATGCTCCATTCTAAACCTCACTCCGTTGTTTTATTTATTGTTCTCTGCTAGAACTTCTCTCTGCTGATGATATCACTGCAGTCACAGAAGTTGATTTCCTCTTATGATGCAGCACCGACACTCTCCACACAACTGATACCTATTGAAATAAAATGCCGTTTTGCTTTTTAACCTCTGAAGTCCTTCACAAGAGGTAGGTGAAAAATGTAGTAAAATGGCAGCTATTAAAAGGCTGAAACCTGAGTCAGCCCAACCACATGAGAGGCTGCCCTTGGTCTGTCAAACACATACACATAATAACTTTCCAAATTCCTCTTCCAGTGAACAACTTAGCCTTTATTAATTTCACACCTATGTTCTGTAAGCAAAACTAATGCATGCCTCCAGCAGTGCTAAACCCTGAGTAAGGACCAGAAGCTCTTTCCAATTTTCATAGAATCAATCATGTAATCATAGAACATACTGAGTTGAAAGGGACTCATGAGGATAATCAAATCATAGAGTCATAGAATAGTTTGGGTTGGAATTGACATTTAAAGGCCATCTAGTCCCATTCCTCTACAATGAGCAGGGACATCTTCAAATGCATCAGATTGCTCAGAGCACTGACCAAACTGACCTTGAATCTTTCCAGGCATGGGGCTCTTAACACCTCTCAAGGCAACCTTCCTTACAGGCCACCTTTAGGTACTGGACAGCTGCTCTAAGGTCTTCCTGGAGCCTTCTCTTCTCCACTCTGAACAGTTCCAATTCTCTCAGCCTTTCCTCACAGGAGAGGTGTTTCAGTCTAATCATCTTCATGGCTCTCCTTTGGACCCAGTCCAACAGGTTCATGTCCCTTCCGTGCAGAGGACCCCGGAGCTGCACACAGAACTTCATATGGAGTCTCACCGGAGCAGAGCAGAGGGGCAGAATCACCTCTCTT